AGAGCTGTGGTCGTTGTGCATTTCCTTTTCAACGGGAACTATAGAGAGAAAGCAAATACTGTTGTGATACGAGAAGACAAGAAGAAGAAGTTTCTCATGCACCTAGAAGATTGTTTGTCCATTTTTAATTTCTTGATTCTTCAACAGCCTCAGTGGATTTCCAGGCCATGGTAGAATGAGCAGATTGGCGTCTGCGTAGCGGTAGCCAGTGCCTCATGAGATGTGTGTAAAATGCATATTTTTTTATGTTACTGGCTATTGCAAGTCCTCCCTTTCCAGAGAACGTGGGGTGGGGGTGACCAAGCCTGCTGCAGCGAGCGTTCTCAGCAAGCCTACAGCACACATCTCCATTGCGTGTCCACCAGAACTGTCCCTGCTTGGCTGAGGATTAATCCCAACAGGATGAAACCGATGCCGGCTGGCTGGGAGAAACAGCTGAAGGAGCTGGCAGTGGCAGGGTCTGCTGCTCTGCGGACAAGGACGGCGTATGTCTTCCAACACTGCCTCTCCTGACCAACTCAAAACGAGTATTTTTCCTGTTGTGCCGCTGTCAGTGCAGGGGTGAAAATAATTCTGAGTAAAGAGTGAGAACCAGGAGAGGTACTGCTGCAGGGATGAAGCAGAAGTCCTGCTTAATTGCTCCTAGGAGGGCGAGCAGCCCTATCCGTTCGCTGAAGCATCATGCTATCAGGAGTGATCAGTATCTTGTGGAATGGGATAAAACTCTGGGAACATGCTGCAGAGCAGTGTCCAGGGGAGACACTAGTGTCTCTAGTTTTCTCTGGGAGGTAGGTGAAGCCAAGAAGCGCTGGCAGCACGCGTACAGCTCGTCGTGGCACGGCGCTGGGACCGCTTACGCGTACGGACACGAGGGTCTTTGCAGTCAGCAGTGCCGGAGCTGCCGTGGTGAGGTCCTGCTCCCTTGCACTGCACCTAGACCAGAGCTGCACGCTTCCCACTCAGACTGGCATCTGGGGGTGCTGGGGGTGCCTCCACGTTCCTGTAGGGAGCCCAGGATGCCATGGCCCGGTGCAGGAGCCGGGAGGGCTCTATCCCTGCCAACCATGGCGTCTGTTCGCAGAGGAGAGCTGAGCAGAGCCAGGAGCCTGAAGATGGGGGTGAACTTTTAGATATACCAGCCTTAAACAAATTTAAGGTCTTGAAAAACTTCATTGGATGTATAAAACGGAGCCAGCAGAGGGAGCGAAATGCAGGGCCACTGTGCTGTCCATGGAGCAGGGAGCTGCTGGTGTTTTGGTCCAGGTGCAGCTGGTTCAATGATGCTTCTCCAAACCGTAGTGTGGGTGTACCAGCTGCGTCCAGGGCCACTGATAACGAGGGCATGGATTAGTAAAGGCAGGTTATCACTTGTGGGAGTGAGAGGTGGTCTGCTGTATCATTGTCAATGTAAAAATAGGTGGTTTGGGGGTTAATGCTGTGTGATTCCAGTTTGAAGAAGGTATCCAGAGGAACCTTAGCTTCTCAAATAGTTCCTGTCCTGAGCAGGTTCTGAGTGCTGTCCCCGTGAACAGGTTCAAATGCTTTATGGTTCAGTTGTTCTGGCACTTTTCACATGGTCCTGTGAGCGGCCATGTAAAGTACTGGGGAGAAGCCTAAAACTAAGCGTGCTGGTGTTGCTCCCTTTTTCTCCTGTGCCTCCTCAGTGTCCTGGTCTTGGCATTATCTCGAGCGCTAAATGAGGATAAATATGCTTACAAATAGCTTCTTGCCGATTTCTTAGTTAAGGTCTTCAAAAATAGAAATTTTGCAAATGGATTAGTTCATCTTTAATGTGTCTTCAAAGACAGGAATACAGTTTCCTCTTCTGGTGGGGTGTTGGCCATCCTTGTTCACCAGTTGATAGAAGAGATAGGAAGTGATCTTTATTAAACCATTCACAATGTGTGAGCTTCCTCCTGGCTACTTCTGAAGGAGAACTGGCAGGAAAACGCCAACTCTCGTGGTCAGAGAGCGCTGTGGGACTTGGATGCGAGGCACAGCACACCCGTTCCGTAGTTATTCTGCCAGGGCCCCTGCAGACTCCAGCAGGCAGCAGTTGATGCACCGAGGATGTATCTGTAGCTGTGGAGAGTAACACAAAAAAGAGGTTTTATTAGTGTTTTTCACTTAAGCTCCTTGTGTGTGAACAGTCAGAGCCGTTGGAGAGGACTCGCTTCATTCCACGTAGTGAGGAGACTTCACCTGGCTGGTCCGTCCAGTGGGAAGCTCCAGCTGGATGGTGCCAGACTGCCCGAAGCACGACCGGAGCCTGCGGTTCACAGGGTGCCCTCAGACACCAGGCGGGTGGTTACACTGGGATTTTGGTGTGGCTGTTGTTGTTTAGATAACACTGCACATGAGATACATCGTAGCTGGGGGAGGAAAACAAAAACACCACCTAAGCAAATAAACAGAAGGTTGGTGAAGCATCTCTTGGAAGTGTGGTTTTCTGGAAATCGTCCCCAGCCT